TGCCCAAAGACACACACTAGCTGGCCAGGCTGGGTCGGGCTGGGCTTGTTCTCCATGAGGGTCAGGTGGCAATGCACAGCAGCGGGGCTGTACCATGGCCCTCTTGTAGGCACATCCCTGTGGCTGTGCACTGCTGTCGAACAAGTCCAGCCCAGAAAGCTAGTGCGTGCCTTTGGACAGGAGTCACGGGTCCCAGATCCACATGTCCTGGTCCTGTCCAAAGGCTTGCTTGCTCCCAGAAAGATGACATTGGGGAGGGAGGGAAGCTGAGAAGAAAGGCAGCCCTACAGTGCTGCGGTGAAGCCCTTGTTTTGGATAGAAGATGTGGGGGTGGGGAGATTACTAATATTTTGTTTAGCTTGAGGTAGGAAAGGGAGGAAGACTTGCTCCTGGGCCTGGCTAAAGGAGTAACAACTTGCTGCACCCTGTTTCATTCAGGGTAGCAGTTGTAGCAACTCAGTTAACTCATACTATCACAGGAGCAGATGGAATAGTTTTAACAGCTTATTGTGAAATCCTAGGTTCTCTCTCTCCACCTTTGAAGTTGTTAACAGTTATATTTGTACATAACTTAGGTCTACAATAACAATTACTAATAAAGTAACTTATTTGATCTATTTACAGTTGCAGACTCAGTGTGCACATCTACACATGTGCTTAACTATGCATTAGACTAATTTAATGCACAGTAAAGTAACGCCATCTACACGTACACCACAATTAGGGCACAGTAGATTAAGTTACTGCTCTGTGGGCTTCAGCAGGTTGATGTGATATATCTGCAAATCCCACTGCTTCACCTACTAGGTGAACTTCATAATTTACCTTACCTACCTTCACTTGACCGCAAAAGAGCCATGCCACTTAGTCAGCAACCTACTTTCAGAGGAAGGGAGAAATAGTAATAATCTATTCCCTGGCCAATAAATCTAGAGCTAGGCGTTTTTATAATACTGCTGTTCCTAAAATTTTCTTTTGCAAGGGCACTCACCAGGTCTAGGCTTTCCCCTAGCTTCAGGATATATTGGGTTATGTTCTGTGTTGTTGTCCCCAGGGCCTGCCAGGATTCTTGTAAGAGATCTAACATGCCCCAGGGTTGCTTCCCATAAGTAATTCAAAGGGTGAAAAGCCCATGGAGAACTGTGGAACCTCTTGAATGGCAAGCAATACGTACAGTAGTAACTAGTCCCAATTCTGAGGTTCTTCTGAGAAAAATTCTCTCAACATCCCCTTCAGTGTCTGCTTAAATCTTTGCTCTGGTCAGTCAAAAACTCATGGTGACTGTCCATCTGGAAGAATATCTGTAAAAGCTCAGAGGCCACAGTTTGTGCAAAAGCCAAACTAACTGCCACAGTCTTGGGGAAGTGGATGGCATAGTCAATAAGGTCCAGGATGAACTTGGACCCTCTTGAGCTTGGCTCCAGTGGTCCCAACAAGTCCTCTCTGACACCTGCTGAAAGGGTACACTGACCAATGGACTAGCTACCAATTGAGACTTATGAGTGGAGCGGGGAGCAACCAGCTGGCATTTGGGGCAGGATGCACAATAGTCCTTCATTTTCTGGTATACCCCAGGCCAGAAAAACCTTGCCAGCATTCCATCCTGGATCTTTTCCACTCCCAAATTGTTTCCTCATGGTACTCCATAGGCTAGCTTCAACATCTGAATGTAGTACTGTTTGGCACTAATAACTGGGACTGCCAGGTCCCTGTATCATTGTTTTTTGCCACTCTCATCAATAAGTCCCCTTGTAAGGCAAAATGGGGGTCCTAAGATATCAATCTTGCATCTACTATAACCCATTGTCCAGAACCAATTGGCCATAAAGAGGGACATATACTGGGTCTTCCCTTTGATCATGAATGAAATCCAGGCCTCCCACGACCTGATCCAGTCACCCCTCTTGAAGATCTCCTGGGGTATCCCAACCCTCTGAATCTTCTGGAAGGTGGTCCAGATTGCACTGAATGCCCAGTCCCTCTGCCTGAGCATTTCCTTTGGCTTGAGAGGGTTTTCCACCCGACCTGCTGCAATTCATGGTGTGATCTAGATCAAGGTCCAAAGAGCTCAGGGTCTGAGAAGGGAAAGATGTCCTCCAGCTCTGGCTCAGTAGAATTAGGGTAATTCTGGCTTCTATTGACTCTTTGAGCCAATCACAGCAATTTGGCCATTGAACTGCAGTCTCACCCCACTACCACTGGGTAAACTAAAGGTAAACTAAATGCCTGGCCACCACAGCTGTCATGTTAACTTCCTGTCCCTTGATGGTCAAACTCAGCTGTGTTATGGGGTATGGTTGGATATCTCCATGAATACGTGTCACAAACTCATTCAATTACCAGGAAGTCTGCCAGATTCACAAATTACTCATGGACAAAGGTCTGGTTAGAGCCTGAGTCTATGAGTCCCACAACACAGACACACCCTGTCTTAACTGGGACTACATATCCCTTCTGGTCTGGGCTCTCCCACCATGCCTCTGAGGCATAGGCATGAGTATACCTACAGTCCATCTGAGGACAGTTTCAATATAGATGGCTCTTCTCCCTGCATTAAAAACAAGTCATCAGAGCATCCCTTCCTCCTCCTGGGCTGCAGAGATGCCACAGTTGGCTATCTTCTTTGGGGGGCCACTCAAGATCCCTCCCCCTGACTGGAGTCTTGGAAGAGAAGGAGATAGTGCCCCTACAAAATGCCTCTCTACAGACCCTGCCTGTTTCTTCCACAGTCCAGTCTTTCAGGGACCTGCTGGACTTTCAAGGGATCTAGACACTTTAACACTGCCCCCATGATGTCCTCTAATTTCCAGGTGGCTTCCTCCAAGCTGGTCACCAGATGGCAATACAACCACCTCTAGGTTTCTACTGGGTACGATGATACAGAACTGCTCTAGGGTCACCAGTTCTGTTATTTCTTCATCTCGCTGTAAATCAGAATTTAGCTAGTGGGTGCACAAGCCCTTTAATTTCTAAGCCATGGCTCAAGGCTATGCATTTGGGTCCCAAGTCTCCTGGTAAAACTTGCAGTGACAGGCCTCCTCTGAGAGACCCAGCTGGTCTAGAATGGCAGCTTTAAGGGTCTTATAAGTCCAGGACAAATCTGCTCCCAAGGCCCAGTAAGTGCCCTGCACTTCCCCCAGTTAGAGGGGCCAGCCCTTACAGCCTACGCATTCTGTGACCACTGATAGGTCTCTGCCACCTGCTCAAAAGTCAGAAGGAAAGTCTCTGGGTTATCTGCAGGTCCCATCTTGGTGAGTACTCCACCCTCTATTCTTTGGGAACCAGGTGACTCACCAACTTGGGTGGGAGTTCATCTTAACTCCAATGTTGCTTCAGGAACTCCAGCTGGTGCTGGTGCTGCTCCCTCTGGAACTGATGCATTTAATGCTGCTGATTCCTCTGAAACTGTTGCTCTGGAGGTGGAGTTGCTGAAATGGATGCTGCTGCTGCAGCCCCTCTAGCAGGGCTCTTGTCTCCATTCCTGGAGTTTACCTTAGAATGCCTGCATTCTTCACCAAGTATAACAGTTTTTACCCCTTTAGCCATGTGCAGGAGCCAGCCTACCCACCCCCCTTCTTATCTCAAACTAAACAAAGTAACAAAAACATCAACAGCTCTGCCCCCCCCCGCCTCACCTACCCAAGGCACGGGCTTCACCGCTGCACTCTAGTGTTGTCTTTCTTCTCAGCTTCCCTCTCCCCAAGTGTCTTCTCTCTGGGAGTTTTTAACTTCTGTCTAGACTTTCCAATCATCCCTGTCAGCTGGCCCAGAGCTCCTAGGGATGCAGGCTGCTACCCTTACAGCTGGGCTCTGGTCCCTGAGCCATGCACCTTGTTATGTGAGATTAAAATAACATGACTTTCTTATAGTACTATCACTACAGAAGCATGCAAACATAACAGTTGCATTGTAGTAATTATATCTCAATCATTTGATACCAAAAACATCCCTGCCCTAAGGGGGGAAACATATGAAAACCTGTGTTTGATGGCATGCTAACAGTATAGCAGTGGGTGTATGCATGGGTGAATTACTAGCAAACGAGTTAACAAAATGGGCAGGGGCACCACCAGATTTTAATTGACTTGTCGGAAGTCAGGCTGTTAGTGACTAGTTAAATGCAACTAAGTCCCTTGTAGAATAACCTTTTGCACACAACCATCAAAACCAGGTTGAGAAACACGAGTTGCTTAATTTAGAAGCAGAACTAAAGAAAGGGTCCTTTCCCCTCCTCTACACAAAAATTTGTAAATGGAAAGACCACAGTTCAGTTTCAGAATTGGCACCTTACTCCCCACTTTAAGCAAAACTGCACCACCACATCACAGTCATTGCTGTTATTTATATCTCAGTGTTAAAATCTACTTGCTCTTACCAGGATGTACTATACTCCACTTCCGTTCTTCTCCTTCTGGTGGGCTATCAGTTGATATTCTTAACACAATTCCTTCTGCAACAGAAATCATGGAAGAAAAATGTTCTAAGGTTCTTTGAATGTGTGTGCATATGTGCATGCCTGAATTTTAAAGTAATCATATAATAACAGCTTCGCTCTTGGCATTCCAGGCCATATCCTCACCGGGTCACAAACATACCCAGAGTTATAAAGTCCACACTGACACTTTGCCTAACCTCCAGGTTCCATTTAATTAGCAGAGCAAATTATTGGCAAATTTAACTCCACCAGAAATTCTTCTTGCATATCAGTTGGCTGCAGAATTGCAGATTGGACTAGAGCAGGTTTAGTCAGAGCACAGCATTAGGACTTCTGGGTTCCATTCTCAGTTTTACCATTACCCCACAGAATGATCTTGGGCATTTCATTTCACTCTGTCTCTTCATCTGTTTGTGACACAGTTCCTCACCGAGGTACTGAAACTATTAAGTGCTCTAAGATTTTTCTGAGGGAAAGCACTATTATAAATGCAAATTATGACAGTAGCTTTGTTATTAAGTTATTTCAGTTACTCTAATATGTTTCATTTTTCATTTTTTTAAAGCTATCCCATTTGGCAAAGTCCCAATTTTGGAAATAGATGGAGTTATCATTCACCAGAGTCTTGCTATAGCAAGATACCTGGCCAAAGAAAATGGTAATGTTGAACTGCTATTTTTCTTGTTATTTGTGCTTGAACCTATATTCAGTGCTGCTAAAATACACTGAGCTTTGAATAGGACAATACAGGTTCATGTTAGCTGAAGTCAGGGAAAAGGCAGGGTAGAGGTACATCTGAGTAACGGAGTTAGAAATATGTAAGCTTTTGTGAGCCACAGGCCAGTTCAACAAATGCTATTATCAATATAGTTAATCTAAAACATGCACCTTTACATTGCTTTTTATATGATAATGAACCTGTACCAGGTAAGCACAAAAGAAGGCATGAAGAGGATAGCGGGAAAAGGAATCAAGATAGGAATAAAGTAAAAAGACAGGCTAAATTGTAGGCAACAGGAAGAGAAATGGGGGGAAATGAAGTTAGGCAAAGGAATGTGGTACACTCAGAAGAAGCCAGCTTTTCAAGGGTTCAGAGTTGGGGTGACTTGATCCAACGGAAGGAGGCACGTTGGGAGAAGGCAAGAGAAGATTATAATGACTAAAGTAAAAGGTAACCAAAGTAGGAAGAAGGGTATTGGCAAGATAAGATAGGAAAGTGATGGACTTTAGAGATACTAAAGAAAGACGTAGGAGAAAGAAGATTCAAAGGTGCGTTTGGGGATGCAGAAGTGGTACTGGGATTGTCAGTGAAAATAGGTAGGGCAGACTGGCAGGAAAAGAAAAGGAAGGAGCTTGGTTTACGGAGGACTGAACTGAAATAGCAACAGAATGTGAAGTATCAGCAGCAGAGAGAGGGATCCCCAGATAGTCTGAGTTTGTACAAATCACCTAGCAAATATTTGTATTGATGCTCTCTCTCTGTTTTCTCTGTCTACATTTGAATTCCATAGGTGTGGCTGGTAAAACACCTTTGGAACAAGCACTAGTGGATGCCATTGTGGACACCATTGATGACTTCATGTCAATGTTTCCCTGGGCAGAGAAGGATCATGATGTGAAAGTAATGTGCTTACTGAATTAAAATAGACTAATGTAAATGATGGATGTATACTTGCCAAGTATATTATCTGCTGTGACAGCTATGCAGTGGTCCCTGCTGTCTCGGATTTAACCCATGTCAAATGTCACACCACAAACTGGTCACTAGGTAGTGAGGTTTCCTTAGAAATTCTTCCCCCATGTTAATGAGCTCGTTGCTAATGAGCAATCAGACAAATCTTTCTTATACCCTTGCCTTCCCCCATGGTCCCACTTCTACACATGCATATCAATACACTGCAATACACTCGGGTGTTTGTCTCACCAGAGTTTACTGCTCCTGGGTGTGCATTTACACATACACCTGGGATTGCAGCATGTTGAGCCAGTATGAAGCAGTCCTGGCAGGCAGGGAGCCCGAGGGGTCATCCTGTCAGCCTAGGGCTGCTCCCCCTGGCTCAGTGTGCTGCAGGAGGGCTGACTGGGGCATGAGGGTGTTTTTAGTGCAGGGCTAGCCAGCAGGCAGCCTCCGCACTGAATCACCATCATGCACCAGCCAGCTGGACAGCATCTACATGTGCGCTGCTGCAGAGTTTTTTACTTTGCTGCAGGACAGTACTTGCATTTACAAGTACTACCATATGGCAGAGTCAATTAGTTTACTCCAGCCTAATAAAGGTGCATGGGCAGATACACGAAGTTTACTGTGGAGCTAATTAGTCAATAAACATCTCACTGTGTAGCAGAATTCAGAGGACGAAGTAAACAGCATCATCTACTTTGCCCTGACTCACCTTTCACGGTAGGCGTTATGTATGCACATATTAATATCAATGTATTTACTAAATGCGGGAAGATAGGTCAGCTCCACTACCACACTCACAGCTCTGTAGTTGTATTTCATCACAAACAATGAATTAGCAAGACTGCACTAGATTTTTTATTTAAACTAACTAAAAAATGTAACAGCTGTCAGCCACCTTATTTTTTCTATACTTCTAGCTCACTCATTCCTGTTCTGTTCAGCTAATTTTATATACAGCTTCAGTTTTGAATTACAAACACATATTGAAAAAGACAATTGGAAATGGCCAATTACTTCTCTGCCACTGCAATGGCAGGGCATTGGCAATTTCCAATGCAACCAAACCACGCTTTTCATACAGCCTGTACTTATTAAGGGCTGGATACTGAAGTAAACAGACACATTTGGGAGAAGGGAAACTGACTCCCACTTTTGGGAAGTAGAAAGGAAGTTCCAAATTATTCCAGAGATGTAGCATGATAGCAGAACTGATGTAGCAAAGAGTAAAGCAATGCTTTCTTTGTAGCAGTTCTCTCGCACCTCCACCTCTGCAATATCAGATCAGTTTAGGAAGCACCAGTCAGAGAGGATGTGAAAAGAGAAGGAAGATTCCATGCAATTACCATAAGTTTAACCTTAACTTTCACTTCCCGTGAAGCTTGTTTTGGAAGTAGTTGCGACATCCCTACAATACTTACTCTCTTTAAATACCAACATGTTTACGAAGAAATCCTAATGGAAAGATGCCACATAGGATTTCTTATCATTTGACAATAGTATCAACTGCTTTTAGATCCAGATTCACCAACATGCTGTAATTGCTGGAACAGTACAAAGCTCTTTGTTCACATTGTCTGGTTAACCAGAGTTATAGCTGCTTTTCAGTTGCCACAGCAGTACAAAATAAGCAGAGAACCAGTGAAGAGGAGGTGACATGGCCCCAAGTCTCAATTAGTTTGTGCCTGACAGACTCCCCCCTGTACTTCTGACTTTGCTTCCCTGATAATGTTTCTGTGAGCACCGATGCCCAATACAACATGCCATCATGGCAATAATAAAGAGTTGTGTCAGGTCTTCTACCAATGGGAATTCTTGACTGAAGTTCAGTCTTTCTCATTCTTTGGACTCACTGCAACCAAAGCTGTAAGCATGCAAGTTAGTAGTCCACACTGGTTGGGTTTCTACGTGGAACATCTGCACTAGATTTTCTTTCAAACTGCAAAATTTAAAGAATCCACATTATTTTCTTACTGGAACCATTCAGAAGAGTTAATAGAATTAAACTAGTCAACACATTTATCAAAATTTAAAATTATCAAAATTCTTGGTGAAATATGTAGTGCATGTGCCATAATTTTAGAGTGGCCTGAAGCTACTAGTTTCATAGATTCATAGATGCTAGGGTCCGAAGGGACCTCAGCAGAAGGGATCATTGAGTCTGACCCCCTGCCTAGGCAGGAAAGAGTGCTGGGGTCAGATGACCTCAGCCAGATGCCTATCCAGCCTTCTCCTAAAGACCCCCAAGGTAGGGGAGAGCACCACCTTCCTTGGAAGCCCATTCCAAATTGTGGCCACCCTTACTGTGAAGAAGCTTTTCCTGATTTCTAGCCTAAATCTGCTGTCAGTTTGTGACCATTGTTCCTTGTTACCCCAAGAGGTGCCCTGGTGACCAGAGCATCTCCGATCCCTTGCTGCATTAATGAATTTGTAGGCAGCCACAAGATCACCTCTCATCCATCTCTTGCAGAGGCTGAAGAGGTCCAGGTCCCTCAGTGTCTCCTCATGAGGCTTGTCCTGTAAGCCCTTGGCCATACGAGTGGCCCTCCTCTGGACCCTCCCGAATCTATAAACATGCTTCTTGAAGTGTGGCACCCAAAACTGGATGCAGTACTCCACCTGCGGTCTGACCAGTGCCCAACAGAGGGGAAGCATCACCTCCTTGGATCTATTTGTCATGCATCTGCTGATGCATGATAAAGTGTGGTTAGCTTTGCTGATGATTTCATCACACTGATGGCTCACGTTCATCTTGGAGTCCACTATGACTCCGAGATCCCTTTCGGCTTCTGTGCTGCTGAGAGGGTCACTTCCCAGGTAGGAGATGTGCTGGATATTTTTGCACCCTAGGTGCAGCACTCTGCACTTGTGTTAATATATTAAAATGCTGAATCCCTCCTTAAGGTGTTCGCAGTTCTACAGAAACCTTGTCAGCTTGTGATTTTTACAGAGCTGCAGAGAAAAAAATTGAAAGCATGAACTCTAAAGGGTCAAAACATGAAAGGTAAAACAAAGCAACCCACCCAAAATCTTTTTCTTTTTTAAATCTCAGTTTTGGAAGACTTGACTTTGGACATTTAAACATTTGGGCTTGGTGACACTGCTGCCCTAGGGACACTTGCATGATGCTGGCCCAGGCTGCCCTGGTTTGTGGTTGGTGTCACCAAATTGATTAAAAAAGGAAGGAAAATTCCATACATACTTCTCAAATGATCTCTTTTTTGGTGGATGAGGGTGCAAGGATGACAGGGAAGTAACAGCTGGGGAAGAAGCTATGACTGTTCTTGGGAATTTGTCTACTCTGAATTCTACTGCTGCCACCTTGTGGTACAAATGGAAGCTGGCATTTGCTATAAACCATTTAGGACTGAGAGTTCTGGAGTAGAACTGCCCAAGAATTAAATCACTTACATGGTAATTAATGCATTTATTTTGTTTTGTGAAGCATGAAACCAAAAAACTGACATCTATGAAATGATATAGAACAGTGTACCCCCCGGGGAGCACAGAGTTAATATTACAGGTTGCATGCATTACAAAAATAAAATAGGTCATTTAAATATGAGAAAAATGATGCAATGGGCCCTACTTATGGAATCCTGCTGAGGATACCTAGATAAAAGGTAGAAGGAGTATGCAGAGATGAGTATACAGGATCTGATTTTGTCTCCACCTGTTAAGGAAGTAAAGACATCCGACAATTACAAGGATCTGGAATGATCTCAAGTCACTGATCATGGATTCAAAGGCAACCTAACAAAGTTTGTTTCTAATATTGCAGCACATGAATGCTACATGGCACTGTTGGACCAAGGCAGCCTAGAAGACTTGCCATTCACCCCTAAGAACTCTTAGTTGCCAAATGCAATGTTATTGTCTATGTATTTAAAGGCAAGAGATGCCATATCTGGAATGAAAAAATATGAATGCCAAGGTTTTTCAGACAAACAACCAAGAGCTATCAGATGTTTTATTCTAGCCTGTTTATGGGAGTGTAAACTTCAGGGGCACTTTTTTAAAACAAATCTAAGTTTTATTGCTTCTCATTAAATTACATTTTAAAGCTTTCCAAGGCAGGTCCAGGCAATGCAATGTAATAGTGATTTATCAGAGGTACATAAATTTGAATGGAGAGGGTAATTAACAACTGGAGCAACTTACTTTGCCAGATGGCAGTCTGCATCTTCTTGCATGTAGACTGGATGGTTTTTTCCCCCTAAAAGCCAGGCTCTGTCCAGTTTAAACAGGAACTGTGGGAAGTCCTATGACCTGTGTAAAGGGTCAAGATAGATTATAAAAACGGTCCCTTCTGGTTTTATAATCTACAATTTCCTGGTTGTTACTTAGAAATAAATACAGATAATTTGCTAATAAATAATTATAACAATGGCTGCCTCTTCTACCTATGAAATAAAATGGGCATCTCTTTACAATTGATGTTTGAACTTCACTTAAAAAGCCAATATGCAAAACTGACCTTTATTAAAGTAGCCCCAACCACCTCCTTACCACTTGAAAATAACCTATAAAACAAAGTAACTCCCAAATTCCTCTGACCCTCCAAATACCTAGACTCAGAGGAATGGAAAGCCAAAGAACAAATTTGACAAATAATACTACTAGTAAACAATGTCTCCTGGCCTTACATTCCTTATCTTTCCACACTCGAAGGAGAAACAGATTTACAAATGGCAAGCAAGATTACACATAAGCAAGCTCAAGTGACAGCTTATGTATGGCAGGTTTAAAGTCTGCATCAACGAGTGAAAGGGTTCTGAGAGTAAAGTAGGAAAAGTCAAGTAAATTCCCTTGTAAAGCTCTTTGGGTCAGAAATGGTGAAATACCAGGCACATTTGGGATGTAACATAGGAAGAATTAGACAAAAATAGTAAAATAAGGAATAATTTTCTTCAATAACCTTCAGAGTATATATTACTTATAGCTCACTCATTTTCCCTTCTAAGGAAATCCACAAATGCAGAATGGATTAAACTGCTAACATAAATGATAGAAGGAAAGTCTGGTTCAAGGTGAATGGGTCTGAACATCAAAGTTACCAGCAATTTTTATTTCAGATGTGTAATTAAAGGTTACTTTGTCACTGGTCTTTACTCTAAGATGAATGGTTTCATGTTCCAGGAAAATTCATATGAAAGACAATTCTAAACTTTTGGTTTGGAGTTATGGACCACTGGGAAAGTCAAGGGGAACCTTCCTCACTCTCTTCTGCAATACTGAGCAGCTGAGACAATGAGATTGCAAAGAATTAATCAGACTGACTATGAATAAATTACACAATAATAATCTCTGACATCAGTGCAAGTAGAGACATTCAAAATACTAGAGCACAGCAGAACTAGGGAAGATACGTGATGTTGAAGTTTACTAATCCACAGTGTTAATAGCAAATCATTGGTTATTGAGTCAGATCAGACTCATGCAGCATTTTTACTCTGGTACTTGATATCATTTAGTACTATTTGTACACTATTGTACTTTTGTAATATACTAAGTAATTTCCATGTGATTTGTGTTATTTCTGTATTGGAGGGTATTAGCTTGAGAGTTGGCAAGAACAGTAGCTAGTAATCAGTAGCTAGTAATAATACCCAATATATTTTTCTTATGTAGCTTAGCTGTACACTCAGCCAGGACTTGCCTTTGAGGGTATAGGGCTGTGTGGTGGTGAGCTCGCTACAGTGAAGGCAAAGGTCCTACCTTGGGGACAGGGGATGGAGTAGGGGAAAGAAGCCCAACTGAGAAGGGGCTGGCAGAGTGGGTAGAAAAGCAATTGGCTTCCAACAGCCTGATTCCTACTAAAATCTGACCTACAGAATGCTTATTTGCAGCCAGAAAGAAACCTCCACGTTAATCCAAAACATGTTAACCTCTCATTGCCTGAACTCAGGACTCAGAGCAATTCTGCTTGCCTGCTCAAGGCCTCTGTGACATCATTGCTTTCCCTCTTGATCAAGTCTAAGAGAGAAGTCTGAATTGGTGAAAATAAGTTGTTTTCTGGTTTCTGATTCTCACTAAGCCCAGTTGGCTTTTTCCTATTGAGACTTAGAACATTCTCTGAATTTTTGGAACTGGTCAGAGGCAGTTTTCAAGAACTGGTACATTACAGACAGAAAAATTCCATTGAATGCAATGCCTCAGACAAAACAAAGCAGTTAACATGCCTTTCCTTTTGCAGTAACAACACTTACTTGGTAAACAGTCCTGCAGGAAGAGCTGTAAATATTTTTAATTACCATGCTTTCATGCAAGTCAACATATGAGACAACCATTGTAAGAAAAATGCAAATAAATTGAAGGAGTGGAAATTATGTGCAAGTACTTTATGCCTGTTCCTAGATAGGCCTCAAGGCTGTATGATTTTAAACACTGGCGAGATGAACAATTGAATTAGTTGCAGCAGTGACTCCCAAACTGTAGACCATGAATGGTGCCTCCTTATCCCTCTACCTCTTCATTTAAAAGTTCAATGATAAGGAAGCAGGATGCTGAGATCCCATGAGAAATGTTGAGGTTTGACAGTGGTCCGCTGGTCCAACAAGCCTAGGAACCAATGGCTTCAGAAGATTCTCTAGAAGGAGACTAGAGAGATTAGTTTAGGAAAGGGACAAATAATAGTGGGTATGAGAAAGACTCTTAAAAGACTGAATCTTATGAAGGTCTTGTAAAATCAGATCACCCTTGCAAACCTGGCACTCAATATCCAATTAAAATGAAATCTACTTAGCAACTAATAAAAGGAAATATTTTAACCCAATATAGTATGAACCTATAGAAGACTACACACAAGTTGCTTAGAATGAGAGCTCATTAAGAATGAGAGTTTAGTGTAGTAGACCAATTCTATTGCACGTTAGTGTGTCATGGCAAAAGTCATGCTAGTGTGCTAATGCACAGTAGAATTAATCTACTGCACATTAGCATGACTAAGAAGGTGTGTGCTAGTGCCAGTTACTGCACACTGAGTTAGTACCTGTCGTTACAAGTACTAAATTTAACATGCAGTAACTATGGCTCATTAATGCACATGTAGATGTGCCCTGTTAGTACTACTCCTCCAAGGACAAAAGACATGAGCAGGAGGGACAAATGTAAGATGTACCTAAATGAAGCATTCTAATTTATTTTTTTTCCTAAATGTACTTGGAAATCTCTTCTTTAAACAGGAGTGGGTGGCCTTTACAGCTATGCATTAGCTACTGTCAGAGGCACATGACTGAACCGGACTAGGTGAACCAGGGTGCAGTTACATGAGAAGTTTACTGTGGAGTAGACTAATTAGCTCCACAGTAAATGTCTTGCGACTACATTTGTGGCCCTGTTAGGCCACAGGAAACTAATCAACTCTGCAGCAGGGTAGTATTTGTAAATACAAGTACTATCCTGCTGTGGAGGTTTTGTTTGTTTGGCTGTTTTGTTTTTTTACTCTGCAGCCCTGCACGTGTAGATGTTTTTTTTACTCTGCAGCCCTGCATCTGCAACACATTGAGCTGGGTTGGAGCAGCCTGGGCTGGCAGGCTGACCCCCCAGAGTCCCTGCTAGCAGGGGCTGCTCTGACCTGGCTTATTGTGCTGTGGTCCCATGCACATGTGTAAATGCAATAAACTCCGGTGCAATTAGTGCCAGAACTTATTGCTTCAATTTCATAGCACACGTAGATGTACCCCCACTGGATCAGAACTTGCAGCTTACTAAGTTTGACATTAGAGGACTGATTGGCATCTGAAACAGCAGCAAGTTGCCGTAAGTGTCCCAAAATTGGTGGTTCAAACATCCTTTTGCTGTTTGGGCTGGTTTCAAGTCAGAGGATTCCCTTAGTTTAATTACTTAGGCATGTTGGAAAGGACACTGTACAAATGCTCCTTTGAGAATCTGGTATCAGACAGTTTATCACATCAGCCTTGTTGAATATAACAGTACATTATTTTCATGCAACCAGAGGTACAACTGTTCAACTACAGTTACAGTCTGCGAATTGCTAAATTTGTTTTACTAATCCTTAACTGTATGCTAACCTTTTGTCTATCACAAAGATGTAGACCAACTATGACCTCCAGCCTAGGAAACATAAGAACATGCTCAGAAAGTCTATTATTGAAAAAACTGTTATACCTCTATTTTTATTGTGTTTTTGTTTCATAGAACAGTGTGTTCAAAAAGCTTAAGAATGGGATTTAAAACTCATGCTAATTTCTTATGCTTTTTTTTGCAGCAAAGAGCATTTAACGATCTCCTCACAAATGTAGCTCCTGGACTACTACAAGATTTGGAAAATTTCTTAGGAAACAAAAATTGGCTGGTTGGAGAATCTGTGAGTGTGCTTTCCAACCCTCCCCACTTGCTCCCACCTTTTAAAAGAGCTGCCAATTTAGTGAGCAAGGCAGACAGGAGAGAATATTCATTTTGGTACAGTAGAAGCAGGCAGATTAGGTTTCTTGCTCACCTGCAAGTAAATGTTTTTTGAGGTAATTGGGGGTATACAGAGCTGCAAAGAGTTGTGTGGCACTTCTGGGGCATCCCAGCTGTTCGCTGAGGCTTATATATCAAAAGGATGTTAATTCTCCAATTAACTCTACCTAATTGGAGAAAAAACACCCTTTATCCATCACTTAAAAGCCCCAGGTTTCCAGACTACAACTCTTTCCAAAATAGTTGTGAAAAGTATGATGCCATGCTGGCTGACAAATAGATTTATTAGAAATTGGTCAAAAAAACCTTTTAAACAGTTTCAAAACAGTTCAGGTCAGCACCCCTTCCTACAGGGCATCCCTGTGGGTCACCATTACCCAGTCCAACCCACATGAGCCATTCTTTCCCAGCTCCGTCTTACCTCACCTCCCATATGAAGGCTATCCACCTTGTGTTTCTCAAGATTTGAGTAACTTCCTGCTATAAACAGGCTGCAGTCTGCTAGCCTCTTCCTGTGATTTGCTCCGATTACAAACAGTAGATAGGAAGTGGGCTGCAGAAGGGCTAGAAATTAGGACCAGGCTGTTATAGGTTGCTTGAAGCCTAGAGCACATGGGTGCATTCCATACACTCAGAGGGTGGGCGTCCATGTACCCCGGAGTTCACCAAAGCTTCCAGAATTGGGTCAGAATTGTTGGCAGGGGTGGAACCGTATAGTTTTCACTATGAGTCATGGGAATGGGATTGACAGGAACTTTACGCTGGCTCCAATACATACAAGCCTACCACTACAGCCGAGTCAGAAGATCAAGCTGTGGACAGATGACCATTTGTAACAAGAGCCTCAGCACTTCACAACATTACAACAATATAGCACTACAGGGGCACAAATTCACAGCCCCCCTGGCTGGGGCAATACAAAGTTGCCATAGAAGTGTACTCTTTAGCCATGGGGTGACTGGGACTTCCTCCTCTGCTCTCCATTCCCACGCAAGGGAGCCTGATCACTGGCAATCTGCTTTTTTCCTACTGGAGGATGGGGACCACTAGCCAGATTGTCAGCTTCCCACGGAAGGCAGCAAGCTCTCCAAGAGCATGCTGCTGCTCTGCTGACCAGGGCAACAGCGTAATATGACAACTTACTGCTTCCATTGCAGTGACCGCAAGACTGGGGAAGCAGCAAGCTTCCACAGCTCACAATGAGCAGACTTGCAGCCTCTGTCTTGGCAAGACTGCAGCTCTGCTCCCCCAACACACTGTCAAAGATCCAGACACTCTTCTGCTCTCCCTGGAAGAGGGTAGGGGATGGATATCAGAGGAGCAAGAAACCCCTGTACTGTGACATGAAACTGAATAATGTTACATATGATGCTACAAAACAGTGCTATAGAGAAGCTCTCGTTTCAAGCTGCAGTTCGGTTACAACCTGGATACCCGTTTCAAACAGATTTTCTGTAGTGCTTGTGCCATTTTTGTAGTGCTACAGAGCATGACGTCTATCTATGGGCTGACATAGATGAACAGAAAATATCAGTGTGACCAAAGACATGAACCATTTTTTTTTTTTTTTTGTCTTGTTTGGTTTAAACATACAGGCCAAACCTTAAAAATCAGAAGTGGGCTGAGGGCTGCATAAAAAAGCATTATGGTTTTATACTTTAGCATGTCCTAGTATTAAGTATTAATAAAGAAGAAAACATGCTTTTTCAGTAAGTTTAGGCTTATTAATACAACATAAAAAGTTGTATTCTGTAGTATTATTTGAAGTTCTGTAAGAATAACTTTAGGAACATTACAAACAAATTAGAAGACCAACCATAATATCATACAAGATAATTAAATTATTTTAGATGCTCACTGGGTTGCATAGTACCTTACTATGACTCTGTATGTCTCAGTGCTTCCTAAAGGGAGAGCCATGTGCTTTTGACCATTGTGGGAGTGGAAGCATGCTCTGCTCAGGAACAGTGAGGTTTTCTTTGAAATAATCTTTCTATCTGCTACCAGGTGCTATAGTCAGTCCTGTGCTGAGCCCAAGCCCCATGGGCATGCACATGCATGGGGCTGCCAAGGGCAGGGGCAAAGAGGGGAGGAAGAGCAGCAGGAATATTCACATACACTGACATGCCAGTGATGAGCTGTTCACACTGGCTTCATGGGCCACATCTGGTAGAGCAGCAATAACATGAACATGGTCACTAATGGAGTGCCCTGACAGTAAATACTCAGCAATTTTTTGTGTTGCTTTCACTATAGTTCAGTTGTTTGCATTTGAATGAAACTCTGCCATTCAGTCCAGCTTCTCTTTAATCTTTCTGTAATACTAAAGAGGGCACATCTGTCCCCTTAACATTTTTAGGGTTACAAAGGTGTTACAGTTGTGCTACAAACATCTGTCCACAGCCCAAGTTATAACATTGTTAAAATCTGTAGTGCAGGCATTATCCATCTAACGCCTTGAGCTGCAAATTAAAACAAATCTGCATACAACTGTTCTGTACATAAACTAGACCTCTTTCCTTAAACACAATTTAGCTGTTTAGTGTAGATGGTTTGAAGTGTAGCTTTTGCAGTTGCATTTTAGATTCAGGCGATACTTCCTATTTCATAATGCTAGTAACATGACATCAAACAACAGAATTCCTATTTTAGTTAGGTTGCTTTATCTTTTTTGTCTTCACTAGGTAACCTGGGCTGATTTTTACTGGGATGTGTGCAGTACAACACTTCTGTCCCTTAAATCTGACCTGGAAGACAGCAACCCTAAACTCTGGGTCCTTAAAAGAAGAGTTCAAGCACTTCCTGCTATTGCAGCTTGGATTCAACAAAGACCAAAGACAATTTTATGATTTAAAATGTTTGTATGCTTAAATGTATTTTACACACTACACTTTGGCTAAGCTCTTCTGAAGTTACTAAGGTACAAAGTATACAAGAAACATAACCATCGTTTTCATTCAATCTGTCCCATCTGCTTGGACAACTCATTTAGACAGAAATTAAACACCTAATATTCAATTCATGTCACTAGCACAGAAAACAAATTTTATTTAATGCAGTTCTAAAATTGCAAGCTAAAGCTCATGAAAAGCAGGTATGCAACTAATTAGAAAACAGGGTGCTCAAAATATAAGGGTAACTTTTTGGTTTTCCATGGTTATAACACTGGTCATACTTGAATTTTGAATGCATTACATATTTTAATTATCTATTGTATTTTACTTCTGTAAAAAAAAAAAAAAAAGACATTATTGAACTTTGCTTATGGAACGATGTTTGAAATAAGTAAATAAAGGTAAGATTGAGAATGTAGTAATAAATTTGCTAGCTTGCATCCTTCCTTCCATGTTCAAACTCTAGTCGTCTTCGTACTAAAAACATTCATTAACTTATCTTACTATGCTTTCATTGTTGCTTCTGTAGTGGGTGGGTAGGTAGGTATGTGCAGGTACACGTGTGCATATGCACATGGGGGTGGAATGGAGTGGGACTAAGTACATTTAATAGATAATACATGATTTTGACAATACTTTATATCAGAATCTCAAGCTAAAGGGTACCAGTTCAGATAGATAATAGGAGGAAAAAGGTAA